ATTTAAAAGGTCAAACTCTATTTTCCGACCCATAGGTTTCAAAACATAACATGCAGGTATCAATGGGGGGAATCTCAGATTTTGCACTGTGGGTTATTAATTTCCTATATTACTACAAAAGCATTTTTCAGTTTATATCCCAAGTCTCAACTAAATATTGTCAGTTGCTTTATCTCGAGATTAGAGCAAATGTTGACTATATTATGAAAACTAGCAACATTTAAAAATAATGAAGTGTCAACTTTGAGGCCTGAGCTCAATATTGAAACCTGGGGTGTGACGAATTTCTGGAACATGATGCGGTTAGTTTGTTTTTATTCATTTTATTTGACACACAAACCTTATTAACAACAACTTATAATAGCTGATGAAGTTATCCTTTCTGATTATGTCCAACATTACTACTGATATCATAGTTATAAGGTCTCTATAAAATTTCTATAAAGTTTACATGATGATAATAAAATTCCCCTGATTATAGTAATACCATCGCTTTGATAAGGCCAATAATGCCTTAGCATGTATATACTCATTATATAGGTTAAGCTTTAAAAATCAATTTTAAAAATTACATAAACATGAACATTCCAAAAAAATTATCTAAACATGATTAAGTGTTCTGAACATACGAAAAGAACTGGAAATGTTGATGAAATAATCAACTCATAGTTTGCTGAGCAATAACACTGTTCGACAGGTCAGATCGAATAAATTCTTAGGCAAAATTCAAAACCTTGTTTATTTAAGCAACGCTGTGAAACGTAACATTTTTATTAATTAAAAATATATGGATTTGCGTGGATGATGCCAGGGTCTTCGCTATTTAAACCGTTCTCTCGGCGCGAGATCACCTGGTAAAAGTATAAGATATGTAGGATAAGTTTCAGAAGAGTTTATACTAAACGCTACTCTCTCTGATGATTAAATAGTCATCTTCATTGTCTGCTACACGAATTTCGTGTGATTTGTTTGTGGATGGTTTCAAACGTTGTATCAAATCTTCAATTAATCGTTCGATCAAAAGACCTTTGCCATGATAGCTAGAGGTTATACTCCATTCAGTCCGACGTAATTCAGGTTTTGCAGCCGTCAGTTTGCTCACTAATGGTTTCACTCGTTGTTTCAACTGTTGTTTCCACGCATCTTTCTGATCTTCTGCTTTTTTCGCCGCAACAATATTCATAATGTAAGGAAAAGCACTAACGCTGAACGTTGTGAGTAACTGGACTGTTGGGGAAACATCGCTTGCTTGAAGAACTCGAACAAGAGTGAGAGTAAAATAAGAGAAAAGAAAAGCGAAGAAAACTTTTAACGTGAAGTAAAAAAGACTCACATGGTATGGTAAGAGGCGTTCTCTAATATCATCATAGAGTTCCTTTGATACCACGCACACAATTTTACTATTTTCATCTAACATCTCACTTTCTGCACTGCAGGAGTCATCCTGAACAATATTCAAGTAATTGTAATCCATGTTGCAATCATAAATCAGCCTCATCAAGACGACATATTGCTGTTCAACAGATGACCAAAACATCCAGGAGTAAAATGTCAGGATTGATATGTAAACAATGTAAGGGAAAAAGAAGACAATATTGAGAATTATGCCTGAGAGCAACAAAATTACAGCAGGAAGCATGTAGAGAAAAACAAAAATGTATATTGGAAGGATCTGTAAAGCTAAATTGCATAAAATCATAAAAATATTTCGCATCCGTTTGTTAGCAGGAATACGCCAATTAAGTGATAAGGACGAAAGAAACACGCATAAAAACATCAACATAACTTGCAATATAAAAACAACTGGAATGTAAACCAAACAAAGAAAAACAACTTTAATGTACAGCAGAACTTTACACCGTACAAAGCATCGTGATGTATTAGAGGACTTGACAGATTCAGAAAATCTAATCAACGATTTTTTCCAGCATTTTATGTTAAAGGGCAACGTGACTAAACCAATGACTTTAGATTTGGCCTTGGGCGAAAAATAGATATCTATGTCATAACTAAAATAATGAAATGCTGCACTTAAATTAGGCAACAACTGCAATAGCCCTGAGAAGTCAATTTCCACGGAAAAATTCCAAGCATTGTAATATATGAAGGACATAGCAATGGACAGCGCCGAAAGGGCAAAAACCACAAGAAAAAAAACGCTAGAATGATCGATCAATTTCAGTGTCCAACACAACAGGAAGATCACTACCAAGCACAAACTCCTGCGTACAAAAGATCTCACTCTTCCAAAACCATCCCAAAATAACAGACGCAGAATGGATAGTAATGACATCGGACTTTCCGTTAACCTGTAATAACCATCGTTCTTATTTTGGTTTAGACTTAGTAATATCATGGCAATAAAAAATAACACAGGCACAGATAAAAATTGGCCGTAGAAAATCACCGATAACATCGATTTAATTGTGCGCACGAATTCAGATTCATCTGACCTCACATAACAATGAGGATTATTGTTAAAACTCTTGCAGCATCTCTTTTGCGTGGTTTGACTCGAATTCTTGTTGAAACAAATTTCTTTCTCCTGGTTCATAGACAGTTGCCTCAAAAGTGCACTAGCAAGAAAATCCTCTGGTGATTTTTTAGATGTCGTACATCCGGCAGGATTAACGCTTACACGCAATCGTTTTCTTTTTCTCCCAACATCAAGAGTCCAACTCAACCCAGCCAGCTCAGTACGATTCCCAGGTACGATTGTTATTGTGAGCAATGCCAAGATATTATGGCCGATATTGTCTGTCCACAGCCAACTCCACTCCTTAATGGTGGCATTTTTCTTGTTAGATGTGAATTGAAGATCAAGTTCTACAATATGAATAATCTTATTTCGACCTAGTTCCTGTAGAAACCACAAATCTGTTTCGTCGATGATCAAACGACATTCCTTGTTTGTTTCACTTGAAGCACTTGTAATATTGTAAGTGTTGCTGTGATTGGTAAACGAATGCACTCCGTGAGTATCAGCTTTTACCAATAAAACAATACCAAGCACGGAGAGAACACATTGGAAAGAGGTAACCATTTTGAGTTAACAAGAACTGTTAGCACTGAGTGTTAGCTTTCGTTAATTGCAAAGAAACGAAAAACGTATCGAAATATATCGCTAAACTTCAGTCACATTTCCATATCCATTGTATAGGGGCGGTAGGGTTTCCACAAAATATTTGCATGTGCATGGCTTTCCTCGCAAAGGGATGGGATTGTAAGAAGACAAAACGAACTTTTTAAAAGAATGCTAAATAATATTAATACCTACCCTACCCCCCACGGTAATGATCTTGTGCCAATATTGTTAAGACATGCTGTGAGTAAAATTCTTCATCCCCATGCACGGTAGATTATGATATTATGAATTGATTACGGTTAGCTATATAATTTATAGGTGAAATGATGCAAATGAGTGTAGCCAATAAAATTATAGGAATTCAATTACCTCGAAATTTAGGCTTCCATAAGCGCCTCGGTTTCCATCAAACGTGGATGAATCTCGCAATGTGTGAATCGGCCGTGAGAAATATTTAAAACAACAAGCACAGTGTTGTTAAAACACGCTGTGAGCTCGCCATGAGGTCTTAATGGTGGGTGCGTAGCGATTAACTTTTATCTAAATGCTGTTGTTTGGCATTATTATAAATATAGGTCATTGCGTCGCATATACATGCATGTATGTGTACGAGTTGTTTCAAATCCAACAGGCTACCTTTAGAAATTCGTTCCGACCATTCCATAACTTACATTGTCAAAACATAGCTTTTTACGCATATAGAAAGACGCTCGGTTTAACAAATCTGCCTACCTCATTAAAGCCATTGTGACGTGTTTCCTCGACTTCTTTCTTCAAATTGTTTATTTCATTATCCTTATTCATCAAGAGCTTGGCTCGTTCAGCAAGATCTTTGGCTCTCTGTCGAGCAAACGCCTTCTTGCCCTTACGAAAATGTTCTATAGAATCCTATAAAATATGCTATAACTTATTCTAAATCCCATAGAATATTTTATAGGACTTCTTATCCTATAGCATATTCCATTGCCATATTCTATAGAATTTAGAGATGCTATAGAATATTCTATTGCACATTCACATTAAAAATATCCAATAATATATTCTATAGAACATGCTGTACACAATATTCTATAGAATGTATGTTATACAGAATGAGACCTTTATGCAATTTAAAATATAACATTTTTAGTACACTATTCATGTAGGTTTGAAACGTACACGTAGTCTGGAATATTGATATGTTGCCATTTCCATGGCGACGGAACGCATGTATTATTAGTCTTTAGTTTTAAAGTATCAGGTATCAGTATATTGTCAACTCAAACAGAGCGAGAACGGTAAACATCTATAAATCTATACGAACGAATTATCATCAATATCTATTCAAGTTTGGTGTGCGCCAACCAAAGTAAGTTACATTTATCTTGTAGTAGTCAGTTCGTTATTCTCTATTCTCAATCGCGTAGAGTGTCAAATCGTATTCATGTATATATTATGCTTATGTTAGTTTGCGCGCATGCCATAATCTATGTAAATCTTTTCTAAATTGTGTAGTTCGAACCCACAAACATATCTATATCCATATCCGCAACCATACCAATCTATCTACCAAACCTCAACCTCAATCTCTATCGAGAATCAACAACAGAACATTGTATAATTATAAATGGTATTAAAGTTATTGTTTATGTGTGATCTGTGTGTGTGGAGTTCGTTTATTGCTGCGCATCATACTTGAATTGACTCTTGGACTTTGCGCATTTCAACAATCTGATCTTGTCTAAAAGTACATACGAGTGACCACGAGTGACCACGGATGACCACGAGTGACCACGAGTGCCCACGAATGACCACAAGTGATTTTTTTGGGTTAGGGTTAGGGTTAGGGTTAGGGTTAGGGTTAGGGTTAGGGTTAGGGTTAGGGTTAGGGTTAGGGTTAAAAAAATGACACAAAACTTCAAACTTAAAACCAAATCTTAAATCAAGCAAGCTTTCCCTGTTTTTCGTTTTAACTGTTCTCCAATTTTATAGATAGCCAATCCAAAAAAATCACTTGTGGTCATTCGTGGGCACTCGTGGTCACTCGTGGTCATCCGTGGTCACTCGTGGTCATTCGTGGTCACTCGTGGTCACTCGTGGTCACTCGTGGTCACTCGTATGTACTTTTAGACAAGATCCAACAATCTGCCCAGAGAGTCTACAATTCATTGGTCGAGAATTATATTCGCATTTTTTGTAAGGTTCTCTCAACATACTTTTAAAGTCTTAAAGCTAAAATTCTCAGCAGAAATCAATCGTTTTGTAAAGACAAATCAGGAATATTTCACACCTATGACATATTTCATGTCATATCTGTTTCATAATATGCCCGTTCGCAGGTTAGATGGCGGGCGTTTTGCCCAAACAAGGTCGCAAGGTTATGTGGGATTTGTTTAACCGCCACGCATTATTTTCAAATTTTGAGCGCGTCTTTGTATGTAGTTTGTCATCCGTTGATTCAACGTTTTATAACTGATACTGGTAGAATTTAGTGCGTTTTTCTTTCGTATTTTAACATGAAATACGCATTCTTTGAATTTGTCAAAGAGGAATCATAGGAGGGTGGTGAAACGCGCTGTATTATGCGAGAAGAATCAGAAGATATGGATAATTTTGTGAATGCCTGAAAGGTGACTAGGATCGTGAGAAAGAAAGGCCATGGCAATGAGAAATTTCTAAAGTTAAGAAAATAATCAAAAGTTCATTGACCCATCTACAACAACATGTGTAGCTAAAGTATTGGAATTCAGTGGTGAGTGTGTTTTGTATATGCTGTAAATGCTATATGTTTGTATAGGCAACATATGCTCTCTATACCATTATAATTAATCTCATAAATTTTTATTCACCTTTAGATTAAACTTTCTATTTGAACATTTTATTTACACCTTTTATTTATACCACTATAAATAGAGCCATTCCAACTAAAAATTATTTCTGTCAAGACATTTGCACTAGCTATAGATATATTTTATAAATTTATATATCATTATCGATAAATTTTATATACCATTAAAATTGAATTAAATATAAGCTAGGTCTCAAGTGTTTAATTGTGTATTCAGTGGCGTAGCTAGCCCGACAATTTAGTCATGCTATGCTAATATTTTGGCATTCATCGATTGTGAAAACAATGAATTTCTAAAGAAATGAATAATGATAATAACATAAAATTTGCATAGCGTGACTAAATCGTCAGGCTGGCTACGCCACTGTGTGTATTTACTGTTAAAATTTACAGATTTCCTTTTGTCCAAACATCACACTAACCAAAGGTCAAAATGGAGCTCTATTAAAGCAATATTAAATGTGAAAGATTTTGTTTATGCAGTGCCGTGGATGCAAGAACAACCTTGCTCTTATTTCATCACTGGAAAGGCTTCAAATACCTAGCTTAATTCAAAGAAAAGGATGCAAAACCAGAGCCAGAGAAAGTTAAGAGTATGTATAGTAAGCAGTATAATTGTTAGTAATTATGTCTGGTCTAAATTAATATATCTTAGATACATATCTTTGTTCAGTTATTGATGAGTTTTACCTTTTCTAGCTGTGTCTAAAGTATGGTGCAAAAAGGTTTGAGGGAAAAGAGGCTTACATGTCACATATGACAAGTTATGGCACCAAAGATTAATAATATTGTGCAAGTTGAGAAAACCAAGTTGAAAGCATCTGGACATCAGTAACTATATGACATTCCATTTTCTCAGTGGCGTAGCCAGCCCGACAATTTAGTCATGCTATGCTAATATTTTGGTGTTTATCGACTGTGAAAACAATGAATTTCTAAAGAAATGAATAATGATAATAACACAAAATTTGCATAGCATGACTAAATTGTCGGGCTGGCTACGCCACTGCATTTTCTACTATTTACATGTTCTGTACATGTAAATATATTTAGTATAATAGCCTAGTTATATTTTTGCTATTTTCTTGCACAGTCATTTTATTTGGTGGGAAAACTGCAGTATGGTAATAATTTTATCTAGAAAATATTGAATAAATTTATACATTCATAAAAACCCAAGCTAAAATATTTCAATTTGAGTGACACCATATTGTTTCAATTACTTAGTGCATAATATTTCAATTGAATCCTCCTCAAAATGTGTGAAATGTATATAATTTTCACTTAACTACCATTTAAGCTAAACAGCCTTCAAACAACTGGCTGCAGTTGTTTTATCCACAAAACAAAATGATTATTTGACAGACTTAATTACCAGAACTAGAGTTCTACATGCAGATTAAAGTTATATGGACACTTATAGGACTTGTTTTTTATTCTTTGTTGTATAATATATGTATTTCAATTTCTTTAATCTCTAGGTTTATTTATATGTAATTTAAGCAAGGCATTTTCATTAAATCTTTGCATCAATTGAACTTTAAGTAAATAAATTTGTTACATATATTTGGGAATATTTTATTTGTTTGTATGTCTCACTCTTGGCAGAAAGAAGTTTTGATTATGTTGTTATAAAGTGATATATTTCAAAGTCGAAACATGGACGAATGTTGAATATACCATTTATCATCCAATAGCATATTTAATAGATTATCCTATAAAATATACTATAGAATAGATATTCTATGGAACATTTTATCACATATTCAATAGGATCATTAATGGAATATTCCATAGATTGAAAATATTTTATGGAACATTACATATAAGATGTCATAGAATATGTGTTAGAATGTTCCATAGAATACCAGTATTCAATAGAACATTCTAATGAATGTTCTGAAGGATATTCTATTGAATATTCTATAAAACATGGCATATGTTATAGAATATTCTATTAAAGGTGCTATAGAATATGTTGTAGAACGTTCCATGGAATAGGTTCCAAAATCCCTTAGAATATTCTATAGGATATTCATTGTGTCTTTAGGGGCTTTATTGTGTCTGAGATTAGTCAAAGGATAAAAACGAGAAGTTCACGTCGTAGATTTTGTTGTTATTGTAATTCATTACTTAGACTGCAAAACTTCCATTGGGCCTATTCCACCGTTTCAGAAGGGGGATAAAAATTATAGGCTGTTGTAGTAAACAAAGTCAAAGCTGATTGCTAAAATAAATTAGAAATGGTTAATAAGTGCATGACCAGGTACATAATTCATCGCTATACTATCGCTACTCTCATTGATTTAAAACCAGAGTCAGTAGAGATAATAGGTATGTACAAAGCAGGGTTTGCACGTTTGGAACAATCTTGATCTTTATTTAATGATCTTACATCCTAAGCTTTACATTTCACCTCCCGGCACACAGGTCTTAACAAGCCTGTAAAATTCCAATGTGCAAGGAACGCGATTTGTTGGTTTCGACTTTACTTTGTTAAATGTTGCTTGTTGTTTAACTTGTTCATAGTAACTTGTGATATTTGGGTGTTGGCTTTTTTATACTCAGTTATATTATTGATGTTCATTACGCATAACTAATTAGTAAACTGTGTTGTTGTTGAATTAGCCACAACATCCTCGGCCCCCTGAAAAATGAAGAGTTCATTCAGGTTCTATTTCTTTACTTAACATAAACAGATGAGTGTTTCATTATGTTGATTATTCAACCTTTGAAGTTAATACTAGTATCGTTTCGTACAAATTGATATATCATTGCTGACTAACTTCTTCCAATAAACATAACTTTGAGATCGGTCGGATTAAACAAGAATCCTTTGTTTTGATCTCGGCTGTTCTAACATGGCCGTCAGGGCCAGGGAATACCTTTGTACATCGGCCGAGTAACCGGCGTCCACGAGGAATAGTTCTATGAACTACTAACACAAGGTCGTTAACTGCCAAATTTCTTCTTTTCTGAATCCACTTCTGGCGTTCTTGTAGCTAATATAGAAAGGTATTCTTTCATCCATCTTGACCAAAAACAATTAGCCAAAAACTGTGCACGTTTCCATTGTTTACGAGAGTGTATATCTTCTTCGGAAAAAATGCCAGGTGGAATAGCAGTATTTCGGCGTTGTAACAATAAATGGTTTGGCGCAAGGGGTTCCAAATCATTTGGATCCTCGCTACTAGGGCAGAGTGGACGACTGTTGAGAATTGTAACCACTTCAGCAAAAAGGGTACGCAATGTTTCTTTACTCAGAAAGGCATGGGGGTGACCGATTATTGCCTTCATTGATCTTCTAACACTGCGAATAAGTCGTTCCCATATTCCACTCATGTGGCTCGCTGCCGGAGGTTGAAAGCGCCATTTCGAAATTGGACTAATTTCCCACTTGATTTCTTTCGATCGCATCTCGTTCTGGATTATTTCTTTCTTCCAATTTAAAATTGATTGACGGAGCTCCTTCTCTGCACCAGTGAAGTTTGTACCATTATCACTCCAAATCACCTTTGGGCAACCACGGTTAGAAATAAATCTTCTTAATGCTTGTATGAACACGTCAGCTTCTAACGAACTAGCGTCCTCTATATGAATTGCCCGACTGTTGAAACAAACGAAAATACATCCGTAAATTTTTTCAATTGAGCGTCCTCTTTTTACGAGAAAGGGACCAAAGAAATCAACTCCAGTGTAGGTGAAAGGGCCTTCGTATGGAGTCAATCTTTCACTGGAAAGATCGGACATAAATTGCTGCATTACTGCTTCGTTTCGCTTTCGACAGTTAACACAATTTCTTAAAATCTTCCGTGTAAGTACTCGTCCTTGTAATATCCAGTATTGTTGACGTACAAAGGAAAGAACATGTTCCCTACCAGCATGTCCGAGGATCTAGTGGTAGTAGCGCACGATCAGAGTAGAAACATGATGATCTTTGGGCAAAATCAGGTGTATTGCATCAAGGGGAAGAGGAGAATTACGAATTCTTCCGCCGACTCTGATGATACCATCGATCAGGACTGGATTAAAGGTTGCTAATTTGCTGTTGGTGGAAACTTGATTGCCGACCCAAAGTGACTCAAGTTCGTTTGGGAAGTACTGACTTTGTATGATGTGAACTATTTTCAAGGATGAAACTTGCATTTCGGCAAAGGTAATCATCTGCGGGATTGTTGAGGGAATAACTGGATTCTTGAGATATTGGATGAAACGTAACAACCACGCCATTTGCCTTTGAAGACGAGGCCAGGAGGAACACTGGTGTAGGAATTGATCCAGAGAAGGGCTAAGGGAAATTATCATTAAGTGCTTCTCCATCTGAAGTTCCTTGTCATTATTTGGAACGTCACCTACAGGCTGAGGTGGCCAGGATTCCTCTGCTTGCCAGAGGAAAGATGGGCCAGTCCACCATCGACATGTTGGTGGAAAGGCCTTAACTTTCATCCCTCTTGAGCCATCGTCGGCTGGATTAAGGTCGCTTGGAACATATCTCCAGTCATTTGGTGATGATACGTCATGAATTTCACCAAGGCGATTAGCCACAAACGGGCGGAATCGACGTCTTTCGTTCTTGATGTATTGTAATGTAGTCATAGAGTCAGACCAAAAGAGTGTCTTCGAAATTGTTAACTCTAGTTCGTTATAGATTAACTGACGTAACCGTGAAGACAGAACCATGGCAAAGATGGATTGAAGAATTACAACACATTCACAATATCAAGATTCCAAGATGCTTTATACCATTCTACTTTGGCACCATGGCCGAAGCTCAATTACATCACTTTTCTGATGCATCCAAGATTGGTTATGCCGCCGTCACCTTTCTACGAATGATTGACGATTCTGCTCAAATCCATTGCGCCTTTGTGATGGGAAAATGTCGTAATGCACCTATACGGGAATGGTCAATCCCTCGTTTGGAATTTTTTGCAATTTGACGTCATTGGTATCTTCGTTAAACAAGTCTTCTGCTTCGTTGATATCGTCTTCTGAGACCATATTTGATGGAACCAATCCTTGCTTGAGTTTACATTCACCCCAGAGAAAACCATCATCGTCCACATCGCCAATCACCTGAGACAAAGAAAAACATTACAAAGAGTGTTCTCAGATGACATTCAGAGCCGAATTCTTTGAAAGAGGCTGCATATAAACTAATAGCACGTATACTATATATACTGTATATTACATAATATACATACTATATACTTGTATTATATATATATATATATATATATATATATATATATATACATGTGTATATATATATATATATTAATTATATATATATACATATATGCTATATATATACTATATATATCCAGTTACCGAGTAAACTGTTTTAAGCTTTTTTAACTTTTCTTCCTTCAATTTTATTCTTGCTCTGCCCTACGGTATTGAGCTCTATTGACCAAGTGACAATCACTTTGTGTATACATACATAATATATATACACCATATTACATTACCATTTTATGCAGTACGGTAATTTTTAGGCTTAGTAGCCAATATAATTCCCTCTCTCAGACTTCCTGAAAATTGAAATATGATTCCCAAATAATCCCTAAGTTTATATTTTAACGTTTTCTCTGTCTTTTAATCATTTGTCTTTGTTTCATTTTTGAGTGTCTAGTACATGAATATGTTCAATGTTTATCAGAATATCCTAAATACACGGATTTAATCCTTGAGATCCGGTCTTAGATTATATTTGATTGCAGTTAATCCTAAATCTAACCTTAATCTCAGGGATTAAGTTCGAGTATTTAGGATTTGAACATGAATTATTACCTTTGTCGTGCTTCAACCGGGAATCCTGCTAAATAATACTTGTATATTCAATCTCTTTCCCACAATGATTCTGAAGCTGACTTACCCTGATAATGTCTCCTTCATTGAATGGCAATTCTTCGTCAGCTCCGTCCACATTCGGCGACATAGTCATCGGGTCATATCTATACAACGCGATCTAGTAACGAACTTGTTCCGAAGCAACCTCGCTCCCTTCCGAGTCAGATCTGTTCTCAGCAGAAACGACTTCGGACGTTCGTTCGGAACCACTCGGAATGTTTTCGTTACCATCTCTTCCAGTCTGCACCGTGCCCCGGCGGTTATCGGGCAAGGATAGCGTAGCTATGATGGCCTCTAAAGCGTTTTCAGCTGCAGGAGGTTCTTCAGAAAGAGAACTATCTGATCTTAAAGACGCTCTTGTGGGACAACTAGACTCGCTAATATTTTCAGTCAACTCTTCGTCTTCTGTCTTATTTCCATCGGAATTAGGTTCTGTGTTGTCTTGATTGTGACAGCTGACAGTAACTTCCTCACCCTTAGAACTATTATCATCAGATCTTACCTGTGTATTGCCGCTTACCTTTTCCGTGAGATTTACGGAATCTAAGTCTGGCTTATTTTCCTGGGTAACCCCATCAATTTTATCTTGCTGAACATTTCTATCTCTCAAAATCTCAGTATTATCCATGGTTTGTTTATCATTACTACCAATTGTCCTATAGTCGATGTCATTTCGATTATCACTCGTAGTTCTAAAATTACCATTCTCAACCCTAGATGTACTCGCACTTTGTCGTTTCTTTGTCGTAGATGTTGTATTGTCACCCTTAGGCTCACCAATCATAGCATCATCCTCGCCATCAAGGAGATCCAAAACATCGTCTTCAGTTCGGAAACCCTCGTCATCGGACGTAAGGGTTCGGCTCCGACTCTCAGTTATATCCGAGTTCCTAGAATGATCATCCGGGAGGGAGGTTAGTTGTTTATTAGAAAGAGTAGCTTCATCATCGCTGAGGATTGATGATCTGTAGCTAAATTGCTCTGCGAAATTCCATTACCCTGGGGTGAAGTATCGTTATTAATGCCGTCGCTTCTTCTGATATCTTCTTCTTCGCGTGGTTCGGTATTCGAAGTGTTTTCTTTAGTCCCTGGATGATTACTGCCGAGAGTGTCACACTCGGGTAATTCGTTCATGTTTTTATAGTCTTCGTCATTTTTATAGGCGACGTCGACTTCGTTTTCCCCCGAAATCTACATGAATAAAGTTATGGAATTTGAAACGCTAGACAGAAGGTACGTTGCATTATAAAACCCGAGAAAAAACTGGAAAATAAATCGAATACGCAGCAAATTGTGTCAACGGGTCTCAAATTAGATAACATACCTCAAAATGCTCAAATCTTTCAATCAATTCATCTTCCGTGTCCATGGTCTTAGACTCCGTGCTATAACTTTCACTTTCCGTTTCAACGTCATACCGGTTGACGATTGGTGGCCTTCGGACGAGAGTCGGAGGAACATCGGCGGCATTCGTCGTATCCAGTCCGCCATCTTTCACGTTCTCGTTGTCATCCTTACTTCCTGAATTCAACTCGGCAACCTCGGAAACATTCGATTTCCTACTGGTCCTACTTCCAGAAGTCGAATCCATACTCGACGTGGCCTGGTGAAGACCGTCGCCGCTGTCTTCCTGATCGCTCTCATTACTTAAAAAGGCGCCTTGGTTCCTTGTACTTTCTTTATCAGACCAGCTTTCTCCAACGCTGTTTTTCGGCAATTCAGAATAGTTTTTACTTTCTAATGCTGTAGAGTTCGCGTCCAAAGAATTGGCCAAATCCCTTGAGACTATAGCATTGCCATTACCATAGGCGGCCCAAAATTACCGGCCGAAACATTTTTCGGCAATTTGTCAATGTAATGTATAATATATAATTACATAAGGTAGGAAGCTCTTTTTTACGTTACGAAACTTACCACTTAGACAGTGACAAAATACATCAATTATATTGACCGAAACTAATAAAAAAATATAGTAAACTAATCTCTGATAATTTTCCTCGCTTCTTACATGCGAATTACAATTTAAAACTACTTTTAACATGACAAAATACGGCAATATTTTTATAGTTTTTGATCAAAAATATTTCGTACGATGCGGGATGACAGTGGTCTCTGTATTCGTCATTGTTTTGAAATATTTTACATGATCCTATTGGTTGAAAAAAGTTCGTTCAAATACTTTACAGTTTGTTTCTTTTTCAACCAATAGGATCATGTAAAATATTTCAAAACAATGACGAATACAGAGACCACTGTTATCCCGCATCGTACGAAATATTTTTGATCAAAAACTATAAAAATATTGCCGTATTTTGTCATGTTAAAAGTAGTTTTAAATCATAATTCGCACGTAAGAAGCGAGGAAAATTATCAGAGATTAGTTTACTATTTCGGTCAATTTAATTGATGTATTTTGTCATAGTCTAAGTGGTAAGTTTCGTAACGTAAAAAAGAGCTTCCTACCTTATGTAATTACATATTATACATTACATTGACAAATTGCCGAAAAATTTTTCGGCCGCCAATTTTGGGCCGCCTATGCCATTACTCAATAAATTGCCTCCATCAATATTTTTAGGCGAATCTAAATTAATTCCTGTCTCGAAATCTTTTTTATCCCCATTATTCACACTTAAAACAGCTCCTTCCACCTTCCCACAAGTCCTATCTTCTATTTCATGATCTTCGGAGCAAATTTCCACAGCATTCGAGTGGAGAGACTCGCCTAGTACGGACAGCGTTCTAACAACAAAGCGCATGCGCGAAAAGTCTGATCAGGAATACCTGATTATAGTAAAACCTAGATTTTATGACCAAACTCAGGTTACATCAATCATTATTTTCTTATTATTTACCCGAAAATGCTTTCGGTCGTATTACTCTCTTCTCGCCATCCTCGTCTTTTAACATTATTTCGTCGTCTGAACTGTCTTCTTTTAGAAAATCTATATAAAATTTTAGCAGAGGTTTTAAGTAGAAAGTTATGATTAAAATAGACCACACGGTTAAAAGTTTAGGTGAAAGTAAAAAACGTGTCCTATGCATAAAACATTTTAGAGTTCATTTTAACATAGAATGTGGGTATAAACAAACAAGGCGACAAACAAACAAACGATTAAAAGACAAAAGAAAGTAAACAAAAATATACAGCAAAAATGTTTTGATATTTTTTTGACAATTCTTTACCTTCGCTATCAGAATCAGCATCTGAAAAAAAACACAATGTAAATAAAATCCTGGTTTACGAATCTATATAGATTATAAAGGTTGTTTTGAAATGAACACTTTTTAGCAGATTAAGACAAGCGATTACAAACAATTCAATCATGTCTCATACCTAAGTCGTCGCTTTCTTTCAAGATGGCCTCTTCCTCTGCGATTTGTTCAACAAAATTCGAAGGAACAAGACCGCGTTCGCCGTTCATGAGCTCACCCACGTAGAAACAATCCTGTTTCAACACATCAAATATGTCATTCCAAATTAGATGATGACGACACTTCGATAACGAAAATAATGTTTTGTGAATTTAAAACTGTTAAGAAACAATGTTAAAAAGTTTAATATATTGAGTGAGAATTAGGTTAACTTTTGACGAACTTTCGTGTCTGCGAAATAACGCTGATACAATTGGCTAATTTTTTCACTATGGAATCAACTACAATTTTATACAACTGGCCTGTGATAGTTGAAAACAATATATTCCTGGGGCCATTTGTTCGAAAGGCGTTCAGTTTAAACGGTGGACAAGGTAAAAATGAAAAACCAAACTATCTATTTATTGAACAACTGCATGAGCTGAAATATTTCGATGTAAATAGTTTAATTGTCAATGGAGTTACACCGTTTAAGCTAAACGCCTTTCGAACAACCGGTCCCAGGATTGTAAACCGTTTATCAGAATGGTTTTTCGATCAATGCGAGTTTTTCTACGATCACATACCCCATCGACATCTCCATAAACATACAGATAATCTCCAGCTTGAGAAGCAAGCTCCATTTCTGGGTTCTCGTTAGGAGAATATAGCATTGGATCATAATTGTACTTAGCCATGAATATGGAGAGTTTTTCTTCCAAGTCGGGAGAGTCTTGAAGCGGACTTCTGATGTAAATATCAGGATCTACACAACGTGTGTAAACGATTTGGGTTTAGAAAACATGTCGAGTACTATTTCTAGAAGTCAAGTTAATTTCTAAAATGCATTTGAAAGTCCAAAAACTGGAATGCGCAGTTCAGTCTTGCAATAGGCGGGATGGCGTGTTTATATGGAGTTCATTTTATAGGACAGGTTCATTCGACGTCATGTTTTACTGTAGAAAACGAATATACGCCAATATACACATGCTCCGAAGATATGTTTATCGCGAAACATCCCGGCCAAGTGGGATGGAGTGTTTATATGGCAATTTCTCGTCCCGTCTTAGCGGGATCCCGGGATGGAAGAGTGATCATATAAACACTCATTTCACTTATTATAGTGTTTGTATTACAAACGGGATCACGGAAACTGTCCCGTCCCAGAAAGGCGGTAAAATATAAACAGGCCCTTAAGGTGGCTCCCTACAGTTTTAGGAATATTGAAAACTAATGATTTAGATTGAAACCCGAATAGGATTGCTTACATGGTATAACCTAGATTAAAACTTAGTATTCTTACGTTGGGGTTTCTTTCATAACTGTTCGCTCCAAGCTGTTATTTAATTGGTTTTTATGCATGTGTAACATTCTCAAAGACAGAAGAAGTTTGGGGAGAAAAATAAACAACGTCTACGATCATAGTTGGACGACGATTGAGATTTTTCAAAATTAAAGGTATCTATAACGCTATTTTATGAAAGCCCTGTTTATGCTGTCAGAGATAGATAGATCAACTTTATTTATTGAGGGTAAACATCGAACAGTATGATCAGCTGATTAACAAGTGGCCCTCCAGCTTATACTAATAGCGACATTAATACGTTAAGAATCAATATTAGAAAGATATCTAAAATCAGTTAAAAAGTTCATTATAACTGTCATTGTGTCATTATAATCTTTCCGAACCGCCGATGTTAAAATAGGAAGATTTAGCATGAGGACGTGTCATGTCCATGCATATATAGACGCATCACGCTATTTATTCGCCATTTTCACGTCATTTTTGAGGCTCACGTGCTCGTGCTAAATCTACCTGATATTTCATTTCACCGGACTTTCATACCTCATAAAGAGATGAAATTTCTTGATCTCGTTCCCCGAGCTTCAACAAAACATTTTCTCTTTGGTGTTCCAAATCCATTTTTTTCCAAATTCGGCTTCCTAAAAAAGGAAAAAGAATACATATATAACTTTTTACCACATTTCATGCGGTTTGTATATGAGAGAAATCCTAGATTTCAAAAAAAAATTTGAAGAAAAATATAATTATTTAGTTTCCATTTCACGGATTTAATTTTCTAATTCATGTCTTAGCTTCTACGTCTGTTGAGATGAAGATATATGAAAAAATCAATCGTCACCTGAAAACATTCAATGATCCCAAGTAAAATTTCAACAACGTGAAACGGTAATGATAAAATTATTTAGTACACCGTAACCAGTAAGCCCGCCAAATAAAGCATCTACCTTTTTGACTTCGGATAAGTCTTTGATTTCGTTTCTTAACTTCACATTCTCCTCTTTCATCGCAAGATTCTCGTTTTCCAATGTCTGAATACTCTTTTAAACGAGAGCATTCTCTTTCAACCTAGAGTTGAAGACACCCTTCAAATGTGATCGCTTTGTTCTGGATTTAATATAGAGGAATGGTCTGGGAACTCCAAAGTTCGAATTAAGTTTGATCGAAATTGTAAACATTGTTTATGATTGGCTACACCGGAAGCAGAATGGACCAATCAAGTGAAGTTCGCAACAACAGGCTTAGCTATACAAAGTCCCCTAATCAATAAATAATACGCAAGGCAGTGGATACCTGAGTGCAAGTGATGCCTGATATTGCAAGACTGACATGCAAGGCAGTGGACACCTGATTAAGCTGGTCAACTTTGGATAACAACTCGTTGTTTTTCTTCTGTAATGCATTGTTCTTCGCAGTGAACGCTTGCTTTTCCTAAAGTCAACACCTCGGTGAGTAAGTTGCATAAACTATGTGAGTATGCTCAAGGGGGCTATTCATAGTTACTGTTTTACACTATTTTACATTTTCAGGCGTTCTAGTTTATTCAGATGAACCGATATTTACCAGTTTAGTTACCGCTGAAAAAATGACATGAAACATCAGAACCAGTAATGTAGGCCCATGTTTCGAACCAGGTGTCAAAAGAAAATCAAACTTACCAATTTATACAACCGCTTGTCCTTTTCCGAACACGCATTTTCCAGTTTCTCGTTGCGTGCCTGGACTTCTTTCACTCGAGTTGACTAAAATTCACAAAGAAAACCATGAATTAGAAAAATATATGAGTTTTAACCGAAGATATCCTGTCACAGAATGATAGCTTCTTCATATATCTTTACAGGACGAATATCGTCGCAATGATAATGACCCCTTAAATTATACAAGGGAGTTTCGCGATCTTTCAACGTGAGGGCCTTCGTGCATGGAGGAAGTTATAGTACAAATAAGGATATAATAAGGATATAATAAGGATATAATCAGATAAGGATACAATTATACAACAGGAAATTCATATATAATTATTGTTCGTAGGTATTGTAAATTGCAAGGAACGTAGGTATCAAACCTATATTTAACCCAGTTATTTTATAATAATATAAACAAAACTTACAATTGTGTCGTGTTTTGATTTAAAATCTTGCAGTTTACACACTTCCTCTTTTAAAATATCGTTATCATTTGCTAGTCTTGTGTTTTGAGCGCTGATATCCTGTATTTCTTCTTGTAAATTCTAAACAAGGAATCAAGTTCATTATGCAACACACATATAAGAGAACCGTAGTGAAGAAGCTTACTTTCCAATGTAAGAAGTAAGATGTCTGTAAAACTACACAAGGTCCCCAGTAGCTATCATAGATATTACTGGAGATATTACTGGAAAGGTGTCTGTATACTTTTTCTAGATGCCGGAGGTGTATGTATTAAGATAATCGTAGGTGTTTGAGATATTTAGAAACATATTGCATGGTTTAAAACAGATACATCTGCAATAAAAATAGACATTCTCAAGAGCTTGGCGTCAGTGTGTATGTGTTAGGGATATCTCTATTTGAGTTGATGTTGAAATGTTAGAAGAGACGTTTTGGGCAATGTTTGGATTGAGAAGGGAATATGTGTATTACAGGTCAGTTTGTTCAAAGAGGAAGATACGGCAGAAAGATACGTGTTTGTAATATAGGGTTGTTTTGATACAGTAAAAATTCTCATAGGAAATTTGTGCACGTTGAATAAATCTTTTATGAAAGAATAGACTTTTCCAAACATATAAACACAATGCACTGTTTACTTAACACGAGTCCGACTAACCTCGACGTTTGAAGAAACTTGTTTTTCAAGCAAAAGACGTTCTTTAGACGTTTGTTCAACAATTTTTTCCAGTTCATCAGCACTTCCATTCTAGTAAAGACATAAAAATAGAGTCTACTTTTAGTGGGGCCTACCGGTAAAATATGGCTTTTTTTCAATACGCATAGCTCTATCCAGTGTATCATAAGATCAGAGATGGACTCAACTGGATTGTATTTTCTGAATGTTTAACTTGCAATTTCTAACTGTTTTATAATATAACATTTATAGTACGCACGTGCTGATTGGTCGAGAAGCATGTTTTTATAACTGTATAGAGACGCGGGACTTTTCCCGTCGAAATTGACGAAGTAATTTAAGAGAATCTGTAATTGAATCGAATTATAATATTTTTACAAAATCTTTTTATTTAGTTATATTATAAAATAGAAAAATTCTTTCTTGTGTTTCTATACGGTTATAGAACACTTTTATACCACATTATACCACCACATTTGATGCTAAATTAAATTTTGAAATATATTAACTAGATCGAGTTCAGAAAATATGGGCGCAGTCGTTTAGTTTTGATCAAGTGCACAGGGATACACGTACAAACGTTTAATCTAGATCGCGCAGAACATGCGTGCAGTCGTTTAGCTTCAGATCAAGTACACAGAACATGCGTGCAGTGTATTTTAGATTCGATCCAATACACCGAATATATGGGCTGAAAAAGTGTTTTCAAAAAACACGCTTGAGTGATTACATTCCCTGTAGTTTGATGTATTTGATAAGCCAATATAAAGAGATCTTTCTCAGTAGAGAGATCTTTCTCAGTCGCTCAGGGTAGCGCAAGACGGGGGGGGGTATCAGCAGTTTTCTGATATATTTTTATTCATTTTATATGAAACACAAATCTAATTAACAGCAGTTAATAAAAGCTGAAGAAGTTATCCTTCCTCATTATGTTCGAATATTACAAACTGATATATAGTTAGAAGTTTCTATGAAGTTTCTATGTTTCCCATGATTAATATTCCCTCTATTATATAATGCCATCGCTTTGACAAGGCTAATATACGTACTACCATTTATACTCATTATCTGGGCAACGCTTTGAAAATCAATTTTAAAAATTACATAAACATGAACATTTCAAGAATATTATCTGCACATAGTTTACAAGTGATCTGAACATACGAAAAGAACTGGAAATATTGATCAAATAATCAACTCATAGTTTGCTGACCAATAACACGGTTCCATCGGTCAGATGAATCGTTACACAGGCTCGTTACACTTGCAATTTTTGCTGCAATTTTTTGTGTGATTTTTGCCTTTTGGTAGGCATGTCAACGGGTGAATTACTTACTGATGTTCAAAATAGAGCCCTTATACATCATGGGCCAGTTGTTAGCTTAAATGGTGAATACGTTCAAAATGGAAAACAAAATTATCTATTTATTGAACAACTGAGCTGAACTATTTCGCTGTCAATAGTTTAATTTTCAATTTTCAAACATATTTAATCCATAAGATGCAGGTTCAATCATTCACAAGATGTATGAGAGCAGTTTTAAACTTTGGCTTATCCACCGTTTAATCTAATCGCCTTTCGAACAACCGACCCCAGAGCATTCGGAACTATTTACTCGTTCACATCTTGCACATAAAATCGTAGCAAAAATCGCAAGTGTAAACGAGCCTTTAGGCAAAATTCAAAACCCCGTTGATTTAAGCAACATTGTGTAACGTAACATTTTTATTAAAAATGTATGGATTTGCGTGGACCGGGTCAGAGTCTTCGCTATTTAAACCGTTCTCTTGGCGAGAGATCACTTGCTAAAAGTAAAAGTATAAGACATGTTGGATGATTTATTGTTTCAGAAGAGCTTATACTAAACGCTACTCTCGTAGATGATTAAATCGTCATCTTCATTGTTTGTTACACGAATTTGGTGTGATTTGTTCCTTAATGATTTCAATCGTCGCATCAAACGTTCAATTAATGCAAGTTCGTCATGATAGCTAGAGGGTATACTCAATTCAGTCCGACGTAATTCAGGTTTCTCAGCCGTCAGTTTGTTCACTAATGATTTCAATCGTTGCATCAAATGTTCAAATAATCGTTCCATCAAAAATTCGTCATGATAGCTAGAGGTTATACTAAATTCAGTCTCACGTAATTCAGGTTTTGCATCCGCCAGTTTGTTCACTAATGGTTTCACTCTTTGTTTCAACTGTTGTTTCCACGCATCTTTCTGATCTTCTCCTTTTTTCGCCGCAACAATATTCATAATGTAAGGAAAAGCACTCACGCTGAACGTTGTGAGTAACTGGACTGTTGGGGAAACATCGCTGGCTTGAAGAATTTGAACAAGAGTGAGAATAGAATAAGAGAAAAGAAAAGTGAAGAAAACTTTTAACGCGAAGTAAAAAAGACTCACATGGTATGGTAAAAGGAGTTCTCTAATATTATCATAGAGTTTCTTTGATACCACGCACACAATTTTACTACTTTCATCCAACACATCACTTCCTCCACTGCCGGAGTCATTATCAAAAATGTTCAAGTATGAACCACTCACGTTGTTGAGGACATTGTCTAGTTCATTATTAAGGTCATTGTTGTTGCCATTGTTGTTGTCATTGTTGTTGCCATTGTTGTCATTGTTGTTGTCATTGTTGTTGTCATTGTTGTTTTCATTGTTTTTGCCATTGTTGTTGTTGTTTTTGTTGTTGTCATTGTTGTTGTCATTGTTGTTGTCATTGTTGTTGCCATTGTTGTTGTCATTGCCTAGTTCATTGTTAAGGTCATTGTTGAGGCCATTGTTGTCATTGTTAATTTTGTAATCCATGTTGCAATCATAAATCAGCCTCATCAAGACGACATATTGTTGTTCAACAGATGACCAAAACATCCAGGAGTAAAATGTCAGAATTGATGTGTAAACAATGTAAGGGAAAAAGTAGACGATATTGAGAATCATGCCGGAGAGCAACCCAATTACAATTGAAGGCGTGAAGGAAATACAAACGTACATTGGAAACAAGTAAAATAATATATTAAATATATACATAAAGGCGACTGCAAATCGTCGCCACCTTCTGCCGGGGAAGGCCCTACGAATAGCTGAAAAATACATGCATGCAAACATTAAAGCAACTTGCAATATAAAAACAACTGGAATGTAAGCCAAACAAAGAAAAACAACTTTAATGTACAGCAGAACTTTACACCGTAGAAAATATCGTGAGGTATTAGAGGACTTGACAGATTTAGAAAATCTAATCAACGATTTTTTCCACAGTTTTAGGTTAAAAGGCAACGTGGCCAAACCAATGACTTTCGATTTAGCCTTGCACGACAAATAGATATCTATGTCATAACTAAAATAAGAAAATGCTGCACTTACATTAGGAAATAAATGCAATACTTCTGAGAAGTCAATTTCCAACAAAAAATTCTCAGCATCATAATGTATGATGAACAAAGGAATGGACAGCACCGAAAGAGCAAAAAACACAAGAAAAACGTCAGAGTGATCGAACAATTTCAGTGTCCAACAAAACAGGAAGACAACTACCAAGCACAAACTCCTGCGTACAAAAGATCTCACTCTTCCCAAACCATCCCAAAATAACAGACGCAGAATGGATAGTAATGACATCGGACTTTCCGTTAACCTGTAATAACCATCGTTCTTATTTTCCTTTTTGCCTAGTAATACTATGGCAATATAGAATAATACAGGCAGAAATAAAAAGCGGCCGTATCGAATCACCGATATCATGGATTTAATTGTGCGCACGAGTTCAGATTCATCTGACCTTACATAACAATGAGGATTATTGTTAAAACTCTTGCAGCATCTCTTTTGCGTGGTTTGACTCGAATTTTTGTTGAAACAAATTTCTTTCTCCTGGATCATAGATAGTTGCCTCAAAAGAGCACTTGCAAGAAAATATTCTGGTGATTTTTTAGAAGTCGTACATCCGGCAGGATTAAGGCTTAAACGCAATCGAGTGGTTCTTCTCCCAACGTAAAGAGTCCAAGTAGGCCACGTAATGACATTATTCTCGATGACTTTAATTTTGAGCAATGGCAAGATATGATGACCGATATTGTCTGTCCACAGCCAACTCCACTTCTTAATGGTGGAATTGTTCTTTTTAGAGGTGAATTGAAGATCAAGTTGTACAATATGAATAACCTTATTTCGACCTAGTTCCTGTAGAAACCACAAATCTCTTTCGTTGACGATCAAAATGCATTCCTTGTCTGCTTCACTTGAGGAAGTCGTCGTAATATTGTAAGTGTGGTTTTGACTGGTAAATGTGCGCCCTTCGTGACCGTAAGCTGTTACCCAAAACGAAATACCAAGAACCAAGAGAACATACAGAAAAGATGTAACCATTTTGAGTTGACAAAGCATTTCTTACAATGAATGAATGAATGCTTCCCTTGTCTTGTCTGATGCAAGTCAGCAAATTATGTGTATTATTATTGTCCTTGCGTCATACTTGTTGCCAGAAACACGACACTCAAGACAAGCGGCAAGACAAAAAAAGACTCAACTACTGGTAAGCTGGACTATAATTTACTGTAAAAATAAATAATTAAACAGTCGCTGGTATTTATTCAAAAACAGACAAATTTCTTTCGACAATGTAAAATTGGCTTCTTATATATTTCTAGTACTATTGCAATAAACTAAAGGTCATGCGCAAAGTTTCAGACAAGGTCATGCATGGTCATATGATACTCTGTAATATTCATAACATAAGCGGCTGGGTTGTATTCGTTACAACGTGAGCTAATATTTCTTTTAGATGATGTCAAGTGAAGTGATTTTAAATTATGTCACATGAAAGCACACAAGAGGCTATAATTATATATTTGCAACACAGCTCAGATTACGTCTGGTTTCATTATACGAAGTGATTTATCGTAAGATTATTCATCCTCGGTAGCTAGTGGTACAAAATGCTTGTCAGTGTAGATAACAGATAAAATCATTGAAAATACAGATTAAATCATTTTGACTTGATAAAGTACTGCTTGTAATGAATGGTATCTGTCCCGACGAAAGCCATTCGATCGAAACTTTATCCCAATATATGCTTGAATATCACATATTTTACGTTTTGTCACTGCCAGTATTGAATATTGACGTTCTGTCTTAGCTTTCTTCACTTATCACACGATATGCGTGTACGCTACACTTGTAGAAACAGAAGCTCGCCGAAAAAATAGGCCCGCCAAGCGTACATGTTTCTGCGCATTATTTGTTCTACTCTTGCGAAGTAGGTACATGACACTACTAGCCATTTTGCAGATAATCATAATTAAATTTGATCAAATTATATTTGGAATTTATTTATTTTATTTGCAAAGTGGTCATTAAATTACTTTATTTGCATAGTGCAATTCAAGGGCAGTAAAAGTATTCATATACCTGTGATGAACAACCAAAAGAAAAGTCCTGCTTTTTTACACTATACTCAATTCATTGGTGCGGCATTGTTAAAATCCATGCTCAGCCTTTGAACTGGTAGTCTGAACATAGATAAAATTGGATATAGGTACGAATTTTAGCTGCGATGTGCTAATAAATTGTGTGTAGTGTAAACAGGGCTAAAATATAACGTTTGTATAATTGTATAGGACAATACTATGCTATAGTACATTACAGGTGTTCCAAAGTAACAGCTGTAATATTAGCTTACAGCACAAACAAAATACAAACATTTTTCTATAACATGAATGCCGGCAAGTATCAAATGGTTTAATTATAGCTATTCATGCGATCTTTATTATGCAGAGATTTCTATAAAGTATGGTTGCGTGTCCGGAAGATAAATCCGGCTTCCGTGTCTAGAAGTCCAGCATAGTGCTGAACAGGTATATGTCTATTCGAAAAAGGATAACTAACTTTTAGACAATAAAAAATCAGTTAATTGTTATACCACATTTAATGCGAAGTTTTTTAAAATGCACTGCAACGTTCCTTCTTGGTTTGTATTGGAATGTATTTACTTTATCCTGCTTAATCAGCGACTATATATGAATAAATTCATATAAATATTAGAATAGAGTAATGATATAATATGGAGCTTTATTAATTTTTATAGTAAATTCATTTGCAAACATTCATCGGTTTATTTCGGGAGGTCATGAAGAACTAGAGAGATTCCTTGAATGAAAAACTAAGATATTCCTCGTCTGTTTAACTTGAGGAGGTCGTTGTAATATTATTAGTGTTGTTTTGACCTTACGTTGTTCGAAATTAGCTCAGTGTGAGGTAATCTGCATTCATTTCCTGTCGTGTTATATCTTGATTAGTTTCTTTTAGAAATCTCAAGATTTTCTTTGTCTGTTTGACTTGAGGAAGTCGTCGTAATATTGTCAGTCTTGTTTTGACTTTACGTTGTTCGAAATTAGCTGAGTGTGAGGTAATGTGCATTAATTTACTGTTGGGTAATGGCTACAGAAAAGAGCTTTGTCATTGCTAGTATTGAATATTGAGGTTGTAACTAGTTTCACTTAGAAGCCTCAAGATATTCTTTGTCTGTATGACTTGAGGAAGTCGTCGTAATATTGTCAGTGTTGTTTTAACTGGTAAATGAGCGCCCCGTGACCGTCATGCAGCTTTTACACAAAACGAAATACCAAGAACCAAGAGAGCATCCGGAAAAGATGATACCATTTTGTGTTGACAAAGTACAGCTTGTAACGAATGCTACCTTTCGTTCAACACTTTTCAATGTGAAACTAAATAATTACACAGACACAGGTCTTTATTCAAAAACAGGATAATAGCTACTTCTCTTCATGTTTTCCTAGTACAATTCTAATAAACTAAACGTCAGGTGTCACCTATTTTTCTAGATGATGTGAAGTGATTTTTTATTGTCAGATGAAAGTACACACACGCAGATTTTAATCATATCATTCCAACAGAGTTCAGTTTACGCCTGGTTTCATTATTCGAAGTGAATTATCGTATTATCTTCTGTAGCTCTAGCATGTTTATACTTAAAACGTTTTATATTATACGGTATTACAGAATGTTCAGAATGGGCCTAGAATATTTTCTTGTAGACAAACAGATTTCAGTGATTGAGTAGAGATGGTGAATCTTAGAGAATCGTGCGATAGATATGATCGTGAAATCTAGTCTTTACTTATTATTATTCGTATAAAAATTGTCGTATAAAATTACAGGTAAAACACGGAGCAACATTTGCGTAGCAAAACATGGCAATTCGAAACTAAAAGTCTGCCTCGTCAAAC